ATTAATTTTGGATTTACTTTATATGCTATAATTTTATTTGATTTTTATTCAACAGTTCCTGCAATATATTACTTTGCTTGTTTCTTCAAAAGCTCCTGAATCATGCTCTTCATACGGAAAATCTTTTATATATTTGCAAGAGTTAATTTTAGAAACTACCATGAATTTTGAGGTGTGATGCAAATAACCGTTGTTAACTATTTTAATTTGAGAAATCTCTTTTTAAATTTATAAGTGTTGTGAATAAAACCTTGAACTTTTTTTCCCTACTAAACCTCCCAACCGTTGTGTTTTCTCATTGGACCCCTACCTGTAACCGGCGGTCTTGAGAGGGAAAAATCTCAAGTTAGACATTCGCCATTTATAGGAAACATATTCCCTCTCAAACACAATAAAGTTCAAGGGGTTTAGTTGATTAAAAGTAGTTCAATGGGTTCCCTGCAAAATCCCCAAGTTCGGGGTTCTCTTGAATTGAAGTAGTTGAGAGGGTTATTTGCAATACCCTCAAAAGTTCAGCGAGTTCTCTGAAACTGACCCCTATTTACAGGGAATTGTTTGCGGGTGTACATTATTATGCAAGATCTGACCCAATCTATTTAGAGTAGATAAATGAGGACAGTCCGAGTTGAACGAGAAGCCAAAATGTGATGCGTGAAGTTGAATGTCAGTGGTGTGATAGTAAAGGCTACAGGCAGGGGCTGGAGGAATTTTTGGTGGTCGAAAGTGACTCGAGGACCGCCATTACGTTGTATGCAATAACGTTCAGTAGGGTTGGAACGAGGGATATCGCCGCGAGTATTAACCGGGGGTGGGAAAAGGATTGGGAAGGTCAGTTATAACTATAACGCGTCTTCTTTTTTTGGTCAATGAAAAACTTTTATTCATTTACCAAAATATGGAAATTATGTACATCACTATCTCAACAAAGAGAAAACCAAGCTTCTAAACAAAACTTACAAAGATATTAACCAATCTTTTTGATCAGCCGAAATGGGGTTGTTTAGACATAAGGTGAAGATGTCAGTTTTGATAATCTTTACTGATTGATCAGTATTTCTGCTCCTCTGTTGAAAACATCTTCTGTTCCTTTCTTCCCAGATCCTGTACACAGCAGCCGCAAGCGCCAATCTCCGAACCTTTTTCTTGAATCCCTTCCTTTTCTGTCTTGTGTTATACCAGTTCAACAATAAGTTCCAATCACACGTTTGCCAATCTACTCCAAGCCAGTTGATGATGCCTAGCCACACTTCCCTTGAAAAGTAGCAGTCAAAAAATAAATGGTTCCTGCTCTCAAAACCTGCACACAGGAGACACTGATTTATATTGATGATCTCTCTTCTTAATAATTTGTCTTGTGTTTGTAACCTGTTCAGCACCGCAAGCCACAACATAAACGAGTGCCTAGGGTAATTCAATTTTCCCCACACTGTGTTAAACCAGGGAACTTTTTGTGTGACAGGGGAGAAAGCAGTGTATACTGCTGACAGTTTGATTTTTGAGTTTTTGTAACAATCACTAAGCAATTGCTTCAGGTTGTCAATGCCTCCAACTTCATTCAAAGCATTATCCCTACATTTAAGTAGCTGCTTCCACATCCAAGAGTCTCCTCTTTTTGCTTTAACATTCCATACATCCCTATGTTTTAAATAATTCCCATGAATCCATTTCACCCATAATATTTCCTTATTGACATGGATATACCACATACTCCTCATAGCAGTAGCCAGGTTCCAAATAGCTGCAGAGTAAACTCCCAAACCACCTTGAATTTTCCCACAGCATATCTTATCCCATGAGACCAAAGGAGTTTTAAAAGAGTTATCAGATTTCCCCCACAGGAATTGCCTGCAAGCTTCATCAATCCTGTTCACAACCTTAACTAGCAATATGAAATTAGATGTCCAGTAGTTTTGAATACCCAAAATCACACTTTTGATTACCTGAATCCTCCCTGCATATGAAAGGTTGTTGTGTCTTGTCCACTTCTGAAATTGATTTGAAATACTATCTAGCAGAGTGTTACAGTCCACATGTGTTAGCCTTTTGCAAATGAGAGGAACCCCTAGGTATTTGAATGGAATGGCCCCTTCTGAGAACCCCATGAAATTTTTAATCTCTGTTTTAGTAGCATCATCAACCCCACCAAAATAAATATAGCATTTGTCCAAGTTAGCTTCTAGTCCAGTTGTGTCACTGAAATCTTTAACACATTGATATAGCTTTCGGATGGAATAGAGATCTCCTTTGGCATAAAGCAACAAGTCATCCGCAAAGATGAGATGAGAAATTTTGAGTTTACCACACATTGGATGATACTTGAACAACTTGTCTTTTTTTAAAAGCTCTAATCTCCTTGATAAGAATTCCATCCCAAGAATGAAGAGGTATGGTGATAGGGGATCACCCTGTCTTAAACCCCTCTTTCCTTCAAAATAGCCATGAAGAGTTCCATTAAGAGAAACAGAGAATTTAGGTGAAGTGATACAAGCCATGATCCAGTTGATCATCTCCTTAGGAAATTTCAGCCCTTCAAGCATCATTTTAACAAAGTCCCAGCTTATTGTATCAAATGCTTTCTTGATATCAATATTCATCATGATTCTAGGAGAAATGTTCCTTCTACTATAGCTTTTAGCCAGCTCATGAGCCAAGGAAATATTGCTTGTAATCTGTCTTCCTTTGACAAAAGCACTTTGTGCTTCATTCACAATGCTCCCCATGATTGGTTTAATCCTATTTGCTAGAATTTTTGAAATGACTTTGTAAATACAGTTGCAGCAGGATATAGGCCTAAAGTCAGCAGGGGTGACTGGACATTGTTTCTTTGGCACAAGTGTAATGGCAGTTGAATTAACCATTCCCAGCAATTTTCCATTCTTGAAGAAATCCTCAATTGCAAGTGTTATCTCCTCACCAATCACAGGCCAAGCAGATTTATAAAATGCAAATCCATATCCATCTGGCCCAGGTGCCTTGTTCTCATCCATTGAAAAAATAATATTCTTTATCTCTTCTTTTGAAACAGATCTTGAGAGCATGTTAGCTTGAGCTTCATTCAAACAAGGTCCAGCTTGGATAATTTGTATGTCAGGTGTAGTAACAACTGGAGCAGTCCCTAAAAGGTTCTTGAAAAAAATCCACCATTTCATTTGCGATCTCCTTTTGATCAGTAAGTCACTGTCCTAGGTTGTTGTAAAGAACCAACACCCTATTATGATGCCTGTTTGCTTTGATTCTAGAGTGGAAGAAATTTGTGCACCTATCTCCTTGAACACTCCAATTAATCCTAGCTTTTTGCTGCAGAAAGGAAAGTTCACAATCTAGGAGTTTGTTGTAGTTTGTAATACACTCCTTTTCCTTCATGATATAATCTGAATTGAGAGGACTAATTTGCAGATTTCTTTGAGCCTCTTCAAGTTCCATTTTGGCTCTAAGAACTTGTTCACTGATATTATAATAATGTTTCTTGTTTAATTCCTTAAGAGCACCTCTCATCATTTTAAGTCTCTTGCAAACTGAGAGCATTTTGTACCCCTCTACTTTTGTTTGCCAGATAGCAGAAACAGTTGGAATGTAGCTTTCATGCTTAGACCACATTTTAAAAAACCTGAAAGGTTTCTTTCCATTTGAACAATCCTGGAATAGAGATACCATAGCAGGAGAGTGGTCAGAAAAATAAGGAAGCAAGAATTCAACCTGACTAGCATTGTACATGTTAAGCCATGCATCATTCACCAGAGCCCTATCCAGCCTGCACCACACTCTAGTATCATGATCCTGCTTATTGTTCCATGTATAGAAACATCCAGTTGTTTTTAGATGGTTTAGATGGCAGTCTTCAATTAAATCCCTAAAATCCTTGGTTTCAGCCTCAGTAACAGCTGCACCTCCAAGCTTTTCTTCCCCCTTTATTACAGCATTAAAATCACCACACAAGATCCATGGTTCATTCCCCATTGATTGCTTGATAGTCTTCAATTCATTCCATAACTCCTTTCTAGCCTCCATTTGATTACAGCCATAAATAGATGTAATCATACAATCTGTTCTTCCATCAACTGATACAATTTTGCATGTGATACTCTGGTCTGAAGTGGTGATAATTTGAACCCCAAGAATTTTTGGATCCCACATAATCAAGATCCTTGCTTTTCTTTGATTACTGGCATTAGAGACCCAGTTCCAATTTCTAGCTATTTTTTTAACTGCTTGCTGTATCTTACTATCTTTTATTTTTGTTTCAAGTAAAGCTATATATGAAAGATGGTATTGAGATATGAAATGTCTAACCATATGTTGCTTAGAGGATTTGTTTAATCCTCTAACCTTCCAGAAGGATAAATTCATCTTTGCTCCCCCCCCCCCCCCCCCCCCCCCTCTATCTATTGTAGAGGGGTCAATATCCAAAATATCCAGAAATGTAAAAGAATTCCCAGGAATGATATTCTTACTCTTTAAACCTTTTTGAACATGAGTCCAAGGTCTAATTCCTTGAGTATCAGCACTGATAGCTTCTGTATTTTTCTCTTTGATCACATGTACAGCATAATGCACTGCTTTCAGCCCTGAACCAAATGGATCAGCAATTTTCCTCCCACTTTCAATAACTATCTCACTTAATAGATGGTCATCTCCACCTGTATCAGAAATATGCACAGCCATTTTCCTACTATTCTCTTCTTTTTTACTGCCCTCTTGTCTAGTATTATCCATATTCAGGTTAACATTTGATAGCAGAGGATTATCATTCTCAATAATAGCTTTTTCTTTCCTAATATCATCAGATATTGGAATCTAGCCTTGCTTAGGAACCCATCTTTGAGTTTTTATCTGCCTTCTACAATATCTTATATCATGACCAACCTGCTTACATACCTCACACCATTTAGGTTTAAATTCATAAATCACCCTCTGAGTGTATTGCTTTCCTTTTGCTTACATACCTCACACCATTTAGGTTTAAATTCATAAATCACCCTCTGAGTGTATTGCTTTCCTTTTGGATCAAGAATATTGATCTTGTTTAGGTTTAAATTCATAAATCACCCTCTGAGTGTATTGCTTTCCTTTTGGATCAAGAATATTGATCTTTTCAGGAAGGGGGGGATGGTAATTTAACCTCTACTAACACCCTCGCATAAGCCAAGCGCTGTCTGTTGGTAGTCAGTCTATCAGTTGCTATTGGACAACCTATAGCACTTGCAATTTTTGATATGCTTTTAGCATTCCATAGGTTGAGTCTCAGAGATGGAAGCTGAATCCACATAGGATATACACTGTCACTAATCTTCTCAATATCTTCTCCATTTGTCCATTGCTTCAATAACAAAGGTCTTGATCCAAAGAACCAAGGACCCTTACACAGGATCTCATTCATCTCATCAGTATTTTTGAATTTGATCAGAAAGAGTCCAGGTTTAAGAAGGCATACTTCTAGCATAAATTTCCTCCATGTTTTTTGCACATAATTCTCCATAGCCTTGAACTTTACATTCAATCTCATTACTTGCCCTATTAGTGAAGATTACCATATTAATATATCCTCATTCCATTCATCATCATTAAAAGAAATTGTGTCTTTGTTTTCAGAGGGAACATAGTTCAAATTCATCCCATTCCATTCATCATCATTAAAAGAAATTGTGTCTTTGTTTTCAGAGGGAACATAGTTCAAATTCATCCCATACTCTATCTTTCTGTTATCTGTAAACAGACTCGCCCAACTTTTATCCAATTTTTCACCAGTTCCATTTGAACCCGTTAATGTCACAACAGAATGATCTTTAACAGGTGAACTATTCTTTCCAGGTCTCAATAAAACAGTATTTTTCTCCTTTTCCAGATCAGAACTCCCAGATTTATTCAAATTTGACCGAAAATCTTGATTTAAAGATGAATCTAGATTTTCCTTTCTTACGTCCAGTTCATCAGCCCAAGATTTGATAGATCTACTAGAAATAGAGGACTTATTAAACTCAAGATTTCCATTAGATCCAGAAGAGTGAATCTTACCAAGAACACCAGAGCTTCGATCACCCTGCCGATCAGAGCTCCGATCACCTTGCCAACCAGAATTTTTGAGATCAAGAACACCAGAGCTCCGATCACCCTGCCGACCAGAATTTTGGAGAAGCTGACGATCTTGAATAAATTCGAACTCCAAATTGCCCGAATTCAGCACCTCTGTCATAGATCTAGACTTTCCTGCCCCCTTTGGCCCAGTAGAACCCATTTCAATGGAATCTACATCATCTTCCTCGCTTAGAACATCAAATAGACCATCAGAGCCTGTCGAATTCAGCTTAGGAACTCTCAAACCTATCTCTAGGATCTTTTTACCATTGCCTTTCTTCTTCCTCACCATCAGAAAACTCAAAATTTCACAAAAGTTCTCGGCGGGGGCGCACAATACAAAGCGAAAATCGCCCGCTATCATACACCATACAGACCGCCCCTTTTTACCCCTTAGACCATCAGACCAAACAGCTTTCTATAATGCGTCTTCAAAGAAGGTAATAGGTGCGCAGATGCTACGTACGGCTAAAGATGTATCGACTCAAAGCTCTTGGATTTGCAATATAGATTATTTAGAATAAAGTTATGGCTGTTCTTTTCAAAAGAAATATGATATTTTACATCTCTTTTCCATTTTGCACTCTATGGAATCACAAATTTTTCAATTTTTCATTTGTTCTTAGTTTTGTTGGAGCAATCAACGGCAAAGGAAATAGAAGTATAATATGTATGAGGAAAGATTTAGTGGGAGAAGCAAATAAAAAAAATCTTTTTTAACTCTCTCTTACTGTAGCTACAGTACTCGGTTTTTTTCCCTTTGTTTTTTCTTCTCTATTTTTTCTTAGATAGAATGATGCATGAATGCCTATTTAAAGGCTTTACAAAGTGTTTCATAATAGAATTCTAGTATGACTATAATTCCTAGAGATAACTAACTCGGATTAAATTCAACATCCCCCCTTAATCATAATTCTGTAAGGTCTTCATTCCCATCATGTGCTTCAACTTGACAAACGCTTCAAACTTCAAAGGTTTCTTGAGGATGTCCGCAACTTGATCTTCAGAATCACAACAAATCAACACGATCTCGTTCTTTTCAGCATTGTCTCATAAAAAGTGGTAACGAGTATGAATACGTTTGCTCCTTCCATGAGTGACTGGATTCTTCGCCAAATCAATTGCGGACTTGTTGTCAACATATGTAGGACCTTCAACTTGTATATGAAGCTAACTTAGCACATTACACAACGAAATTGCTTGACAAGCACTCGACACAGCTGCTACATACTCCGCTTCACAAGTTGATAGTGCAACAATAGACTGCTTCTTCGACAACCAAGAAAATACGATGGAGCCAAAATTTAAAACATAGCCAGAAGTAATTTTACAATCATCATGATCTTCACTCCAATCACTATCAGAATAGCCTACAACATCATAATTATTAGATAAAAAATAAAACAAACCATGATCATAAGTCCCCTTTAGGTACTGCATAATTTTCTTTGCAGCTTGTAGATGAGATTGGCGAGCGGCCTCCAAATATCTGCTGATTATACCAACTCCATAGGCTATATCTGGCCTTGTACATATGAGATATCTCAAACTCCCAACAATTTGCATGAAATAATTAGGATCAACTTGTGCACCATCACCTTCTTGAGATAATTTAGTACCAACCTCCAAGATAATTCTAACAGGATTGCAATCAACCATCTGAAACCTCTTCAATAACTTTGTATAGTACCTCTTTTGACATATGAAAATCCCATCATCTCCTTGAACCACTTCAATACCGATAAAATAAGACATCAGGCTAAGATCTGTCAACTCAAATTCATACATCATCGACTTCTTAAACTCTTCAATCATGCTAATGTTATTTCCCATAAAAATCAAGTCATCAACATAGATGCATAATAATAGTATATCACCAAAGTTATTTATTTTTACATATAAGGCATGCTCGGAAGGGCACTTCTGAAATCTACTTTTCTGAAAGAAAAAATCTATTCTTTTGTTCCATGTACGTAGCTCCTGCTTCAGCCCGTACAATGCTTTCTTCAAATTATATACTTTATGCTCACTCCCTTTCTTCATAAATCCAGGTGGTTACTTCACAAAAACTTCTTCTTCAAGTAGCCCATTAAGAAAAACTGACTTCACGTTCATCTGATGAATATTCCAATGCTTCTGTGCAGCCAAGGCAATTATTAGTCTAACAGTTTCAATTCTAGCAACCAAGAAAAAATACCTCTTGGTAATCATAACCAGGCCTTTGCTCGTAACCTTTCGTCACCAATCTTGCTTTATGCCGCTTAACATCGCCATTCGCTTTAATCTTTATTTTGAAAACCCACATGACATTGATTGCTTTATGTCCTTGCAGGATATTAGTAAGCTCCCACACATCATTCTTCTCAATCACATTTATCTCTTCTTTCATTGCATTTATCCACTTAGGATCTTAAATAGTCTCTTCAAACATAACCGGCTCACAACCTACAAACATTGCAAAGTGTACTATATCTTCATTTGCATCAACATCATCATCTAGAGTTACTTCATAATCTCTCAAGAGAACTAATGGTTGGCGATTTTTTCTTGGTCTTTCAACTTCTAATGGAACTTGCGGGGTTGGAACTTCAAGAGCATTTGCCGGTGGTGATTCTTCGGTTGCAATAGGGACAATGTCTTCAAGAATATCAAAGAGAGTACGCCATGAATCGTTTTGTGTTTCTAGATCCCAATTCCAAGCTTCTTCTTCATCAAACATAACATTTCTGCTTACAATCACCTTCATTGTAGTAGCATTGTAGAGTTTGTAGCCCCCGGAATTATAGCCAATAAAAACTATCTTCTCACCTTTGTCATTAAGTTTTTTTCTTCTTTCTGCTAGAATATGAGCATAAGCAATAGAGCCAAACACTTTGAGATATCTTACACTTGGCTTATAACCAGTCCACTCCTCTTCAGGAGTAATATTATCAACACGCTTTGTTAGTGACCTGTTCAACAAGTATACAGTGCATGAGACAGCTTCACCCTAAAAACAATTGGGCATATCTTTGGCCTTTAGCATGCTTCTCGCCATGTCAAGTATTGTCCGGTTTTCCGTTCAGCGACATCGTTAAGTTGAGGTGTGTAGGAAAAAGTAACATCATGATTTATTCCTTCTTTTGCACAATACTTATTGAATTCATTAGAAGTATATTCACCTCCTCCATCTATTTATAGCACCTTGATAACGTAACCGTTTTCCTTCTCAACTAGGGCTTTAGTGCTCTTAAAATAATCAAAGACTTTAGATTTTTACTAAAAAGTAGACCCATATTTCCTTGTGAAATCATCAATAAAAGTAAGGAATTAGCGATTATTGCCATTGGATATAGTGTTCATAGGACAACACACATCTGAATGAACGAGCTCAAGAGGCTTCTTTGCATGCCAAGTATTTTCAATACCAAAGGATTATCTATATTGTTTTTCAAGAATACAACATTCACACAAGGGCTCGAGATGATCTACAACGAACAAGCCTCTCACCAAATTTCTTTGAGCAAGCAACTTCAGACTATGAAAATTCAGATGTCCAAACCGAAGATGCCATAACCAAGACTCATCTTTAATAATAGCATTGAAGCAAT